TCAATGAGTCTCAGCAAGCCAGTCGCAGACCCGTGAGATTCAGGCAGATTTCTGGCTGCAAGTCCCAAGTTGAGCTCCCTGTCCTCCTACAGGGTTGAACTCTGCAAGGCTCTACTACAGGTTCCAGCTGCCCTTCCCCTGAAGATAGTCCAGGTTCTGATGGGAGGTGATGATCCCTCCAACTTATCAAGTAAGGTGGCCTGGTGTGCCTTTCTTGCAGAGATTCTCTTCACTTTTCCAGTGGGCTTCAGTTTTCATCAAGGAGCCTGAGAGAGGCCCTCTATCTGTTGTTCACTTCCCCAGCTCAGGACACTGGCCTTTATGCCCCCCTGTGCCTCTATAGTGTGGAACCAGTTAGTGGCACAGTCAGGAGGCAAGGGGGGGGGGGTTCAGGCACCCATGTGCCTGAGCTGCTCACTGGTGGGCATGGCGAGCCAGAGGGAGCTGAGCTCTAGATGGCCTGGGACTGCTCAGCCCATGCACCTGAGCTGCTTTCCAGTGGGCGTTGTTCATCTGATTTTTAATATCTTTCCTAACACATGGTGATGATTTTCTAAGTTCTCAATAACTTAATCTTCACAAAAAAATAGCACCATTGTATGAGTTGGTTGATTTTAACTATGTAGGTAGAACATTCTATACACTAGGTAGAGAAAATAAATTAGTAGTGCTCAAATTGTGTTGTGAGAATGCTGCAGGTCCCCAGAGTCCCTTTCAGGGTCTTGATAGAGTCAGAACTATTTTTATTATGGTACAAAACTGCTTTTTGCTTTCTCATTGCATTGGTATTTGCAGCAATGATGGACCTCAGGCTGGGGTATCACTGCTTGAGTTTTTGCACAAATGCATGGTCATTGTATTCACCACTGCTGCACACACAACATAAGGACAAGTGTTGCCTAGGAATGCTCATGATAAAATAGTAAGAGGTCCTACTGTGACATAAGCTCCTCCTGTAGGAGTACAGGTCTTCTATCATGTGTCATGAACTGGTAGTTGTCCCCAGGGCTTTTCTTCTATGCAGGGAGGCAGAGCAGTTGTCTTAAGAAAATCACCTGTGTAATAGGAGTTAAGAGCTGAAATTATCATATTTTCCATGGAACACCATTTGTATGTGCTAGAACAACTAACAGTAAACTATAGTTAACCAGATTTACATTTTTGCAGACATTTTCTCAAAAATTAGCAAAGTGAGCTTGTCAATTCAGGAAAAATAACTGACATTATTTGTTGTCAAAGGTAAGACTTGAACTTTTAAATAAAAATTAGAATTTTAAGGAACAGAATCTCCCAGAATCCATGTAGGATTCATCCCCAGGTCTCTCCAAGTTACCAGAATCCACAGTCTCAAAACAATCAAGTCCCTTATATAAAGCAATATAGTATTTGCTGTGTACATCTTCCCATATACTTTAAATTTTTTCTAACTGATTATAATATCTTGTAATTGTTATTATATTGCTTGGGAAATGAAAAGAAAATGTCTATACCTGTTCTTTAGAGATGCAATTGTTTTTCTGTATGCTTTTGGTCTTGGTCGGTTGAATCCATGGATACAGAATTAATGTGGGAGTTAACTGTACTTGAATCCACAGTGAGAGCTTGAGAGTGTCCCAAAACTTAAAGACCTTGCTGATGAAATGGGCAGTGAGATGTTATTGGATGTAAATTTTGGTATTACAGAATTAAATATGTCAACATTTAGAGTTGCATTAGAGAATCAATATTTGTTGTTGTTGTTTTACTAATACATGTTTGCAGTAACATTTACATTCTTTGTAGGGAGTTGGTACATGTACATAACACATCTTAATTCCCTTTTTAATTCTTTTCTCTCAGCTCCCTCTCCCTTCCTCCATCTCTTGATCCCCTTCTCATTTGAGGAAGATCTACTTCCCTACCTTGTATGACCTATCTTTTATTTTGCTCTTTATTTATTCTTTGATTTCTTATATAAGAGAAACCATGCAGTATTTAAGCTTGTGTGCCTAATTTTTTTCACTTAATATGATAGTTTTAAGGTGCATCCATTTTCCTACAAGTGACTCAAGTCTGTCCTTCTTTTTGACAGGGTAGTACTCCATTGTGCGTAAATGCTGCATTTTCTTTAGGCATTCGTCTGTTGATAGACATATAAGCTGCTTCCAAGATTTAGCTATTATGACTTGTGCTGCTATCATCAATATTTTAAGTGATGATATATAATACTACCATGATCATATATGGGCAATTGATCTATTCAAAGTGCAACATGGTCCAACAAATTTTAGTACAGATAAGTATAAAAAGTTGATGGACAAAGTATTAGATTCCATGTTGCAACTAAATTTTAAGAAACTATTACTTGTCAAGTTTTGCTAGAGCACTAAAAAATACCCACAGTCAACTAACAAGGCTATTAGATTGTTCTTCTTTTGTATAATCACATATTTTGAGTCCAAAATTTCTTCATATTCATCAAAGACAGACATATTACAATCAACTGAATGCAAAAAGGTATAGGAAAACCTGTCTTTTAAGGCCAACATTAAAGAGATTTT